CTGGGGACATTAATAATGGCTCGGGCTCGGTGCAGTCCGCCGCGACTGGGCGCTGGCGGAGCGGGACTGCGGTCAGCACCGGCAGCCTGGGCACGGGCTCTGCATGTCGCCCGCGGACGCTCCCATGCTCGTTGCGGCCCGGCGCAGCCCAGTGCTGCGGCTGGCCTCGCACGCTTGCATGCGGATGGGTCTGCTGGCTCGGGGACGTGCGTGATGGCACGAGGTCTCACGCGTGTTGGGCTGCTGACTGGTATTGGTTGCTGGGATGTGCGTCTGCTGTATGTTGGGACGCGGCGGACGACCTGGAGACTACGGTGACACGCGCGCAGTAGAGATAGAAATTTTTTCTCCCGTGGAAGGAAAAATCCCGTCCATGGCGCCTTGCCCTCTTTGAGCTATATCATCCTTGAATTCTTGTTTTTTGGTTCAGATTATTATTTCTTATCCATGTTTCATTTGGAGTTGACTTTGTTCAATGAATCAAAAAAGACTCAAGACACAATTCGTTTGCAAAGGTAAGTAAGCTGAACGGAGATCAAAATTGCAAGAAAGATGAGCAAATTGGTATTACCATCAACGTATTTAGCATTCGGGATTTCTAGTGTTCAAAGTTCTAACCAAGTCACCATATTTTTCCTAGTTAGTTATTCTTCTTACATTTATTGGTGGGATGTATGTGGTTGTAACTTTAGGGAAATGCTACGGTCCCGTTACGGAACCATCTCGTCGAGGTTTGTAACCGTTAGATCAACTATCTCTGACGGTTACATGATGATCCCCAACGGAATGGTTCCGTAACGGGAGCGTAGTGTAACTTTTGACCAACATTTGTTTAATTCACTTATTATTGGAGGAAGATTAAGTCAAGTCTAGCATCTTTCCTTTTCTTCTCTACAGACCAAACAAGTGTATAGATAAATAATAACAAAACGATTGAGCAACACTTTTGACTTTTGAGTGAATGCCGGGCACCGTGCGTTTGACTTTGACTATTTCTGTTGCTGTATTAGTTAAGTTATATGATAATCAACTGTATTAGTTAAAAACAGCATTCTTGTTCAATTTTGCATATGCAATTCACTGTTGAAGCCTTCTTTACTGAATTGAGTCATAATGAACACTTTAGCAGAAGAAAAAAAAAACATCCTAGCCATCCAAGTCCTAACTAAGACAACATTTTTCCACAGCACATCTGGAGTTACCAAAGAATTAACATAAAAAGATTGTCTGATTTTCAATTCACAACTTGTTTTTCTCTTAGCAGAAGGCATCATCATTCTCAACCTCGGACAATCCCGTGTGTCGCCATTTGCTCATGCAAATTAAGATTCCCAAGCTCAGTCTCCCGTTTTATCGGGTGGGACGGCTCCCCTCCTTGTCCCATAGTAATCACATTCTCTTCAAACCTCATCCGTTCATCCTGAAAATTCACGTCCCGCAAGAATGGGCTCGAGGGGCTCGGCCAACTACCATGGGGAGAATAATTCGTCTGGGGCGAGTGCATGCAGGAATTATAACCACAAATGCCCCCGTGACTGATTTTCTTAAAAGTATGAGAGCTCAAATCCTTATTGTCAAACTTCCTCGATAGCTCGGCAATCTTGGTCCATATGGTGGATTCTGAATCCTGCTGCTCGATAATGCTCCAGTTTTCGCGCAAGAATTTCACAACATAGAATATGAGAGCCAGAATCCCGACTATGCCAACGATCAAGAAAAGTCCCCAAAAGCTGGCCAACCCCAAGCTCTTGAACGGGTATAAGTCGGATTCCGGGCATGTGATCTTGTTGTCTCCCAACCATTTCTTCTCGATCTCCACCATCCTCTGGCTCTCTGTCACGTTCAAAATCGCTCTTGAGACATCGGGCACTAAAGGGGAACCTATCGGGAATACGAAACCGAAACCGTTGGCATTAAACGTAGGCCCAGCTGTGGTGTATTTTGAGCCATATTTGCCTAGAAACAGCTTTATGTAAGGGATCTCATGAAAAGCGGCACCCACGCTGCCATTTTTACTTCCTTTGGAAAGAAGTTCGTCAAGTTGCTCCATTGAGCTGTACTCCTTGATGCGCGACTCATCAAACCTGTCTCTTAGAAAGGCCAAGATGAATGATCCTTTACTGTACCCCACGTTTTCCTTGGTCTTGATGAGTTCGCTAATGTCTTTTACCTTTGGCTGCAGCTTCTGAACGGTTAGCATGGACGCCAGACTGGCAGTGTAGCTTTGCGTTATTATGAGAACGACTAGGAACCATATGATCAGCACAAACCTTGCCAAGTTGCTTACCACCCTTTCCTCTACGGGGAAAAAAGGAAAACAGTAGTGTTGGACATCTAAATAATGAATTATGCTTATGCAAATGTAAGGTTGGTGTTTGGAATGCCGTTTTTTTACTGAAGGGGGACGACGGTTTAGCACAGAACCAAACCTCATGAGATTTTTTTGTGTAATTTCTGGATACCTCTAGAGCTTCTTATGAAGAATTAGGCTAACATAAAGGAGTGCAGGAAGTTTGGGAGATGAAAAGTTGGCTTACTGTGAGCAAAGACCATGGTCGAGAAGGCGAACCAGAATATCATGCCCACTTGATACCAGAATGGTCCCCTGAAATCTTCATTTATCCGGTGCTCGAGTATCCAAATCAAAAACCCAATGAAAACAAATGAGCAAAAGGTGGTCAGCCATAGCTCCCAAGTCAATGGCTTCACGAATAACCACGTATTCTTGCGTTTATCATCCTGGATCGGCACAATCATTGAAATGCCGGATTCGGTGTATGGCAAAGTGAAGTCTATGTACTTTGACCTGTTCCCAACAATCGTAACATCTCCAGCTATAGCGTCAAAATTCTGTTTCATTTCATGGATTGAGAAGAAGTTAAGGGGTAAATATCGAAAACTTTTACCATAGACAATAGGGAATTATCCAAAAATGTTTTTATTTATTTAGTTTTAAAGAACAAAACTTACTCCAAGGTATACTTGATAGGTTAGTTCATTGTAATCCCCAGCCATCTCATGATCAGGCTTGGCAAATGGAATGTAATCATACGGCACACCGTATGGTAGTACACCCATGACCTCATCAAAGACATCTATGCAGTAACCCTCTATAGTCGTCGTGTTATCCGAATTCCAAGCAACATGCACGAACTCGGTAAAACCGTCCTTCACAGGCACTCCCACCCTCAACCTCCTCCCGTTGGTGGGAATAACCCATCCCTTTGGTGGCGAAGGCGGGTCCCCCGGCCATATAATAGACCCTAGGTTCGATCTTGAGGCCGAGTACGTATTTATCCTGCTTCCAGTGAGGTTCAGTTCTCTAACAATCCCATTCTCCCTCGTCCAGTACCCAACCACCCGACTCCCTGGCCCCACCATGTTGATGATCTCATACGGCGGCGATTGGAGTTGCCTGTCGATCAGCCTGAAGTCCCCAGAGAGCCCCTTGAACGAAATGCCCGACATCGCCTCAACGAGGCCCGGCCCGCTGCCCGACAGGCCCAAATCTTCGAGATCCGTGGACGCGTTTGCCTTTGTGTTAAAAGTGGGAGGGCCCACCGTGGTGGACATGATTGCTTCCTCTGCGGCCATGGCCAGCAAGATGGCCGAATCGTAGGCCCACAGCCCGAAGATGTCGAAATCGGGAACAAGCGCCTCACGGGCCTGTTGTCTGAAATGGAGCGTGAAGTCGTCGAGTTCGCTCGTCCTCGGGACGTAAGGCTTCACCCCAATCACTCCCGTCATGGACTCGATAACTGAGCGGTTCATCGAGCCCAGCTCGTTGGTGACCCCATCGGTGACTATCCACGCGTACTCACGGCTCATCATTCCGAGCTCCTTGGCCTTGGTGAAGAGGCGGGAGGCGAGTGGGCTCAGCATGTGGACCACAAACACCCTCGTTTGCATAGTCATCAGCTTGTAGAGTTCGGCTGAGATCTGGTCGTCGGTCGCCTGTGGGGGGATGACGCTTCTGTATGGGACTCGTGCATTTACTTTTTCGAAGGCATCGGTGAGGAAGGGCATGATGCCCTCCCCAAACTCATTGTTGACATATACAGGTACCACTTCGTGCCATCCAAAGGCCTCGATGAGGGCCGCAATGGCATCGACCTGGGACGAGTCGTCTATGGTCGCTCTCACAAAGTAGGGGCTGCGGAGCGAGGAAAGGGAGGGGCTCGTGGCCGCGAATGTGATCACGGGTACATGGGATTTTTGTCCGAGCGAGATGAGAAAGCTCGCCTGCTCAGAGTACATGGGGCCCACAATTGCTTGCACCTCAACATTCTTGATCAGGTCCAGGGCTGCAATTATTATTTTTTTTTTTTCCTTCTAATTCAGCGACAGATTCTTACACTTTTCTTTTA